AAAAAATCTGGATTATTGTACATCTTTTTCGCCAAATATCTCCCCAAAGCATACGCACAGCATCAAAAAGGCAAAAAGCTCCAGGCAGACATGGTTTAAAGAGGAAACACTGCAGCCAGGTGGAAATGGCAATTCAGGCGTGAGTGTTATCCAAAACAACAAAACCCTCAGTAGGATAAGCCTGAACAGACTCTACACTGGTGTTTACAGGTAACTGTTAGAATAGAGAATGGGGGGTTTAAAGGGGGTTGAGTATGACACACTTAATCAATCCCAACCAAACCTTGAACAGTTTTCTGTTGGTCTATACCTGTGGGGCTCATCGTGCGGGGGCGATGATGGGTCTCCCACATATTGACTATCACTTGACAGGGACCACCCGCACTCTGCAATTCCAATGTTTGGTACAATGTTAGGGTTTTCAAATCAGACACATTAACCTACTTTTCCGTCTGGTCTCAAAGCTGTCTTTGGACCAGACCGTGAGAAAGGAATTAGAGCCAGCATAGTCACCGATCCCCAGAAAGGGCAGTCAGCCACCATGGATTGAAATCTGAAAAGTGGATTTGTTAGTGACGTTAAAAAAAAAAAAGGAAACATTTCTTTGTTTATGTTATTTTCTTTTCTTCTTTTAACTAAGTATCAGTCACAACATGTATATACCAATACATTTTTAGAGGGAAAACCTCCCTAGAAGACTCAATGGCTGTCAATTCACCACCTAGTTAAAGACATTTTTTTTGCCTGTTAGGACTTTTTAAACACTAATATTAGTAACTTGACTTGAAGTGTGATAAAACAAAAACAAAGAAACAAAAAAAAAAAAAAAATCCAACATACTTCATAAAATGGGAGCTGTTCTTAAATTAAACCAGTAAAGCATAAAGTGTGAGCTTGCAGAGATTACTCTGTTATCTACATAGCATATTGTCAAAAACACAGTACAAACACATTATGAAATCAGGTTAAGTCATCCTCACACAAAGAGCGGTCGACCTGCTTTAGAAAAAGCATAAAAACACACTCTATGTTTAGGCTAAACAAAGTCAACAAAAACTGTAGCAAAGCATACACAGTGGGTGTTTTTTTCCTTCCAAGGAATTTTGATCTCTGCTCTCTCAGTTTGTTTTCTATGCCTATTTTCACACACGAGGCTTAGAGGCACAATGAAGGTCCACTGCTAGATTAGAGGAGGCCACCTGGGCAGTTTTTCTGTGGCTGGCCAACACTGACAGATGTTTCTGAGAATGTAAACACAGGCGTACAGGCAGTCACACAGCGTTTGTGTAGATACCATCTTAAACCAGGGTAACTGATATGCTTTCTAATATTTATTCTCACAAATTGGTATAAACTGTTGAGGTTTACAATGACTTTTGCTATATGGAAGAACTTCAGGGATTTTTTTTCCTGCTGATGAGCTGAAAATGACATCAATAGAAAAAAAATACTAAGTCTCAAAGAATCGCACACATCACAATGACCCACAAAACTTGTTTCAAAACAAACAATAGCTAGTCTAGTCTATTCAGTGGATCTTTTATGACTACGGGGGAATTAATCTTTCACATGGGGGACAATAAAATAATGAAAAGCAGCTCACCTTGGACTGTAGAAAGAAGCCTTTGAAATAGCGGTACTGGGTAACAACACCTTTAGGCACAGTGACTGTTGTAGTCCACATGCATCTACGGAAAGAAAACCCACACAGCTTACTTTTTTATTCTGACAAGGTAATTATAAATGACACTTGGCCACAAACTGTAAGGGGGGGGAGCAACCTGTATATAAGTATTTACAATATACACAA